TGTGGAATTTGGTTGTAAAAAGTTTACATTCAAATACTCATTTGATGAAGAAATTTCCTGTCTGACTTTTGGCAAATCACCAAAGCACCCCTGGGCTGATGTTTTCCCTGTAAGATTTTTCCCAGGGACAAACTAAGAGTGAATACCAGACTCACACACACTTTTACTGTTCCCATTATGAATACACATATATTAATATATTACTTTTCTCAGATGTGTGAGGTGTAATACTAAATTTAAAGCCTTGTTGTTGTTGTTAATTGCGAAGTCGTGTCCGACCCATCGCGACCCCATGGATAGTGTTCCTCCAGGTCTTCCTGTCCTATACCATCTTCTGGAGTCCATTTAAGTTCACACCTACTGCTTCAGTGACTCTATCCAGCCATCTCATTCTCTGTCGTCCCCTTCTTCTATTGCCCTCAATCTTTCCCAGCATTAGGCCCTTCTCCAGTGAGTCCTTCCTTCTCATTAGGTGGCCAAAGTATTTGAGTTTCAACTTCAGAATTTGGCCTTCTAAAGAGCAGTCGGGGTTGATCACTTCTAGGACTGACCGGTTTGAACGCCTTGCAGTCCAAGGGACTCGCAGGAGTCTTCTCCAGCACCATGGTTCAAAGGCCTCAATTCTTTGGCGCTCAGCCTTTCTTATAGTCCAACTTTCACAGCCATACATTGCAACTGGGAAAACCATGGCCTGGACTATACGCACTTTTGTTGGCAGGGTGATGTCTCTGCTTTTTAGTATGCTGTCTAGATTTGCCATAGCTTTCCTCCCCAGGAGCAAGCGTCTTTTAATTTCTTGGCTGCAGTCCCCATCTGAGGTGATCTTGGAGCCCAGAAAAATAAAATCTGTCACTACCTCCATTTCTTCCCCATCTATTTGCCAGGAATTGAGAGGGCCGGATGCCATGATTTTGGTTTTCTTAATGTTGAGTTTCAAGCCAACTTTTGCACTCTCCTTCTTCACCCGCATCAAGAGGCTCTTTAGTTCCTCTTCACTTTCTGCCATTAGCGTGGTATCATCTGCATATCTTAGGTTGTTGATATTTCTCCCGGCAATCTTAATTCCAACTTTTGTTTCATCTAGCCCTGCCTTTCTCATGATGTGCTCTGCATATAAGTTAAATAGGCAGGGCGACAGTATACAGCCTTGCCGGACTCCTTTTCCAATTTTGAACCAATCAGTGGTTCCGTGTCCAGTTCTCACTGTTGCTTCTTGACCCGCATATAGGTTTCTCAAGAGACAAATAAGATGGTCTGGTACTCCCATCTCTTTAAGAACTTGCCACAATTTGTTGTGATCCACACAATCAAAGGCTTTTGCATAGTCAATGAAGCAGAAGTAGATGTTTTTCTGGAACTCCCTAGCTTTCTCCATGATCCAGCGTATGTTGGCAATTTGATCTCTAGTTCCTCTGCCTCTTCGAAATCCTGCCTGTACTTCTGGTAGTTCTCGATCCACATACTGCTGGAGTCTAGCTTGTAGGATTTTAAGCATAACTTTACTAGCATGTGAAATGAGTGCAATGGTGCGATAGTTTGAACATTCTTTGGCATTGCCTTTCTTTGGAATTGGAATGTAAACTGACCTTTTCCAATCCTGTGGCCACTGTTGAGTTTTCCAAATTTGCTGGCAAATTGAGTGTAGCACTTTTACTGCATCGTCTTTTAAGATTTTGAATAGCTCAGCTGGAATACTGTCACCTCCACTAGCTTTGTTGTTGCTCAGATTTTCTAAGGCCCATTTCACTTCACATTCTAGGATGTCTGGTTCGAGGTCAGTGACCATCTCATTGTGGTTATCTGGGATGTTAAGCTCATTCTTGTATAGTTCTTCTGTGTAGTTTTGCCATCTCTTCTTAATCTCTTCTGCCTCTGTTAGGTCCTGCCATTTTGGTCCTTTATCATGCCCATCTTTGCATGAAACGTTCCCTTCATATCTCCAATTTTCTTGAAGAGATCTCTGGTCCTCCCTATTCTGTTGTTTTCTTCTATTTCTTTGCACTGTTCATTTAAGAAGGCATTCTTATCTCTTCTAGCTATTCTCTGGAATTCTGCATTCAATTGGGTGTATCTTTCTCTTTCTCCTTTGCCTTTCGCTTCCCTTCTTTCCTCAGCTATTTGCAAAGCTTCCTCAGACAGCCATTTTGCTTTCTTGCATTTCTTTTTCTTTGGGATGGTTTTAGTTGCTACCTCTTGTACAATGTTGCGAACTTCCATCCATAGTTCTTCAGGCACTCTGTCTATCAGATCTAATTCCTTAAATCTATTTGTCACCTCTACTGTATATTCATTAGGAATATGATTTAGTTCATACCTGAGTGGCCTAGTGCTTTTCCCTACTTTTTTTAATTTAAGCCTAAATTTTGCAACGAGAAGCTCATGATCTGAGCCACAGTCAGCTCCTGGTCTTGTTTTTACTGACTGTATAGAGCTTCTCCATCTTTGGCTGCAGAGCACATAGTCAATCTGATTTCTATGTTGACCGTCTGGTGATGTCCATGTGTAGAGCCGTCTCTTGGGTTGTTGGAAAAGAGTGTTTGTTATGACCATCGTATTCTCTTGACAAAATTCTATTAGCCTGTGCCCTGCTTCATTTTGTACTCCAAGGCCAAACTTGCCTGTTATTCCGGTTATCTTTTGGCTTCCTACCTTAGCATTCCAATCCCCCATGATGATAAGGACATCATTTTTTGGTGTTAATTCTATAAGGTGCTGTAGGGCTTCATAGAACCGGTCAATTTCATCCTCTTCAGCACCAGTGGTTGGGGCATAGATTTGGACTATTGTGATATTGAATGGTTTGCCTTGGATTCGAATTGAGATCATTCTGTCATTTTGGGGATTGTATCCCAGTATTGCTTTTCCTATTCTTTTATTGACTATGAAGGCTACTCCATTTCTTCTGAGGGATTCTTGCCCACATTAGTATACCTGATGGTCATCTGAGTTAAATTCACCCATTCCTGTCCATTTTAGTTCGCTGATTCCTAAGATGTCGATGTTCAGTCTTGTCATCTCTTTTTTGACTACGTCTAGCTTGCCTTGATTCATGGATCTTACATTCCAGGTTCCTATGGAGAAAAAATCTTTACAGCATCGGACTTTCCTTTCACCACCAGATATATCCATAGCTGAGTGTCCTTTCGGCTTTGGCCCAGTCGCTTCATTCTTTCTGGCGCTACTAGTACTAGCCCTCTGCTCTTCCCCAGTAGCATATTGGACACCTTCCGACCTGAGGGGCTCATCTTCCAGCGTCATATCTTTTTTCCTTTTAGTACTGTCCATGGGGTTTTCATGGCAAAGATACTGGAGTGGTTTGCCATTTCCTTCTCCAGTGGATCACATTTTGTCAGAACTCTCTGCTATGACCTGTCCATCTTGGGTGGCCCTGCACGGCATAGCTTATAGCTTCATTGAGTTACACAAGCCCCTTTGCCATGACAAGGCAGTAATCCATAAAGGGGAAATTTAAAGCCTACACCTAAACTTTTTTGGGGAAATAGTATCAGAAATACAGCATACACCTGGGTCTCAATCTATCCTATTTCTGCTGCTGCATTGATTTTAATACAACCATCTGCCAATCTTTGAAGGAGATGCTAAAAATACTACAGAAGTTTATTAAATCAAGTCATATCACACAATTAGTTGGATAGAAATTTGCCATTCAAACTACAAACAAGAACTTTCCATGATGCTAAATTTTAAATTAAATCCTCCCTATAAGTGACAATATTATAAATAATTAAACAATATATTCAAGATTCATAATTCCTCCAAAGATTGCAAGCCTATTGTTGTGTAACATGTGAATAAAAATCTAATGAACTCAATAGTACTATTTGCAACCAAAGGACTGCATTGTTAAATCTTAATTCAGGTTATCTGAGAAACTGTCTCGCACCAATGATATCAGTCCATCCTACTCACTCTGGCAAAAGGGACCCTCTTGGTCAAAAAAGCTTTGGCTGGTGGAGTGTAAAAAAAGAGCCTTCTCTGCTGTGGTCCCCCATTCTACGGAATATCTTCCCACTTGAGGTGAGATCCGCCCCCACTCTGTTGGTCTTCCAGAAGAGCATAAAACTTAGGTCTGCAAATTAGCCTGGGTTCTTGACAGGGGTGTTCAATGTTAGAGGTGGTAGATGGATTAACTGAGAAACAGCTAATCCATATTGGCAAGATCTCCATATTGATCTTGCCATTTTTGCCCCTTGTCTTTGTATTTATTTAATGTTTTTAATATTTGTTATGTTTATGATTTTGATTGTAAGCTGCCCAGAGTTGCTTTTCAGAGAGATAGGCAGCATATAAATTTAATTAATAAATAAATCCATCTTTTCTTTTTTTTGGGGGGGGAGGCAGTGTTAAATCTTGGCAACTGTCTGTACAAGTCCCTGAAGTTATCTTGGCAAGATTTTGGAAGTAGTTTGCCATTGGTTACTTCCTAGGGCTGAGTGTGAGTGATTTGCCCAACGACACCCAACTAGCCTTGTGCCTAAACTGGGACTGAACTCAAAATCTCCTGGTTTTTTAATCTGATGCTTAACCACTACAACAAACTGGCTCCCCAACTATCTATAAACAATCTATATTTTCTTATTCACAGAAAGCTTATTCAATTGTTCAAGGCTTTAACAAACAAGAGAATGATTGAACAACAGCAAGTAAGCAAATTCTGTCCCTACATTCCCATCCCATTCACTGTTCATTTTGCATATTGAGGATAAACACTTAAAAAAGGCAGCCCTCTATATTCAGATAATCTCTTCACACAATTTGGAATTTTGGATTATTCTAAATTTCCACTGCAGTACTCATGGATAGAAAAAGTTTCATGCTACCGAATCCTCAAAATATGGAAGACAACAAGGACAGCAACGTAGATAAGCAGAATTTGCATATTAATTTTTGCTCTTCCTGTATGTTCATTCAAACCTGAATTAAATACGTAATAAGGGAGAAAGATAATAGCAGTATGAGCATTAAAATCAGTGTTTTACCTTTTGATAAACTACAGAGCACACTAGGTCTTTAACAACAGATAGGGAGAGATCTTGAGCATCAATTGTAACAGTTTCTCGAGTGAGACCAATCTGCAGCAAAAAAGAGATTCCATGTACAGATCCTCTGGAGTTGGTGAGGCTTTGTGTGCTGAAGCTGCCATTGGAAAGTCGGCCTGAGAGTCCAGATTGTGGACTTGAGGATAAAGATGGTGTAGGTGGAGCAGTAGCATGAGACACAGATGGAGAAAACTTCTGTAAAGATGGAGGAGAAGGTTCGTTTGAGGACATCTGAGTTGATTTAAATCCACCAAGACCTGTTCAACATACAGACAAAAAAATTTTTTCTGAACTGTTGCAAGTTGAATCTCACATTTTCCTTCTATGGTTCAAGGAAAATCCTCTTGTCTAAATCAACTTCACTCTCCTTTTCATTCTGTGCATGCTGGCAAGTATAAATTTGGCTAAAAATTATTTTAAGGAAAGGTCCTCTTTGTACAGCTGGTGTCAAAAATGAGTTGTCTTTAGCACCACATCCAGATATTGGGAGTTGCTTACATCATTATAAAATTGTTCACTTCAGAAACAGAAATATACAATATTTTTTCACAGAAAATCTTCATTTTGCTTTTGAGACAACTGTAGAGTTGGTTTTGTGCATGGAGAGAGTAATATGAAATCACCCCACTTAGAAATAGTGCACTTCACAATTCAGTATATAAATAGTTACAATAAATGTTAATATGTGTCAGTTTTTTTAAAGATAATTAGTGTCTCAGGTCATAAGTACTGCCTTGAATAATGTTATTCTGTTTTCAGGAATTCTTCTATCATTTAACAATGATGAGAAAAAAAGAGAACAGTGATTATTTCCAAGTTTTCATATTCTGGAAAAGGTTCATCTTTTAAAAGTAAAAAACAAAATTTGTACTAAAATATGTATATCAAGCAGAAGTGTTGGTTTCACATTGAAGGTCTGCAGTATTCTCTATGAATTGCCTAGAAAGAAAAAATAACGTTATATCACATATATGAACAATATTACATAATCATCATCAGAACACCAGAAAAAATACTACAGTCACCATTGCTCATGTCACAATTTCTGCTTTCATTTCACTGAAAATAAATTACCTTTATTATGGTATCTGTTACAGAAGGTCCAAAATGTGGTACCATTTATGCAAGCTCTTCAATCCTTGACATGTTCATTTAAAGTGGTCATTTATCAAGGGATCTGAAAGAGCCTGGAAGGCTGCTGATAGTTACCCTAAACTAGATGGGTAAACAATCTGACAGAGGTCAATCTTCTCTATATATTATAGCAATAAAAGGAATCTTAAGTCTCCTTGAGTTACCGATTATAGAAAGTTATAGAAAAAGTAATTTTGGAGAAATTAAAAGTCACTCTATTCTCAAAACAGGAGCAGGAATAAGTATCTAGAACACAGATACAAAGTAGGTACATTCTGTGCAGCAAAGCTACATTTTCCTGCAAATACAGGAAACCCAAGCATAATATACTTTACAAAGTGCAGCGTGTTGGCATTTTTAATTTCATGTAGTTATCAATCCTCAACAATTCTCCAACTGGCAAAAAAGCTCTGTCAGCTTTTCATTTATGTGGATCCTCTCATGAAATATTATACGTAGAAAGAGCTATTTATTAAAGGAAATAAAATGATCATATGATAGCTTGTAGGGGGAGACTGCAAGAATTGGCAAGAAACTTTCCTTCCTTGCTTTCTTGTACTGTATATGTTTGTGCATGGTTTATTGGCCAAGTCAGCCATTTGATAGGAGTGCCCAAATTCTCAAAATACCAAATGTGCTATTGACCCCAAAAGCTGAGAATCACTGCACTATTATCTTCTATTGCAATTTAGTTACTAGCCCCATAATGAGAACTGTGGAGTATTATGTGGGTTCAAAACAGGGTGAGGTATGATTTAAATTAATTTAAAATTATTATATTAAATATTAAATCAATTTAAAACATGATTTAAATCATTAGGAAAAATATTTTAAATTACAATTTAGTCACTAGCCAAAAGTATTTTAATTAAGTGCAATTACATTTATTTGTTATCATCTCTGTTTAAAGTACTTTCTCATTGTAGAATATAATCAGAATACAGACACTTTAATTTTAAAGAGGAAAGAAATTCATTTTTAGAAGAAACATACCATATATAATAATTTTTCATATTTTTTACAAATAATGGGTAGGCTTTCTATCAAGCAAATGTATGTGAAAATTTTAAAATTGTTATGAACATTTGAACAATATGTTATTATAAAATGCTAGAAAAACAAGCATCGTCAGTTTTTAAATTGGTTTTTAATATGACGTGGTTCTGGCTGATTTTAATTAAAAACAAACTATGTTAAAAAAGTATAGTGTTTTTCAATTAACTATTTTATTTCATAAATTCTCTATTGTTGATCTTTATCTTTAGAAAGAGAACAGTTATTACATTTGCAAACTTATCTTCTTAGGAACAAATAAAATATAATCACAAAGATGTTCTAATCATTCATTAAACCTATATTCATTTTATAGACCACTTTACAATGATTTTGACTGCAGAAGTCCAATTTAAGGTTTAAGCTATAAAAGAGGAACATAACATAGGAAAGTATATATAAAGCATTATATAAAAAAGATGGAACCACCTTGGCAGTTTAAAAAAAAACTGTGTTTGCCCTGACCTTAGTTTAGGATAGGAAGCAAACCCATAGCATGTTACGTGTTAGTTTCAACATTATCTAAATTTAATACTAAATGATTTTGGTTCTGATTTTGAAAATGGATTCTTATATTTCAAAAGCTGTGCTATGACCACAATCTTCCAAGAAGTATCATATTAGGGTTAGGATTACAGTATTTAATAAAATGTTGAAACTGCAGAAATAAATGGAATGAAACACTATTTGCATATTCAGAACATACATCCCTTGAACATAATGAAGAAGCAAAATATCATTCTAACAGAATCCACTCATGACTTATAGAATGTTGCTTTCCAATCTTAAGAAAATACTTGTAACAAAGCCTGTATGTGAATGAAATTCATACTGATGACTAAATATACATTGCCATTCTACTTCTGCTATTCAGCACTAAAGCTACAATTCAAAATGAGATTTAGAGTTAAGTTGCATTGTCTTAAATGCATAAAATGTATTTATTTACATTACTATATACATCTTCATAGACATCTAAAATGTATTTCTCTTGACACTAATAACAGAAATAGGTGCCCTTTTCAGATAACAGTTCATTCATTCAATGAAATCTAAGTACATATTGTTTTATAAGAAATTTTTTTTGCATGATAATATTTTCTTAGAAATAACATTTTTGAGATGTAAAGAAATATAGAATAACAGATACATTAAATTCAGAGCATTTATCCAATATTTGTATTTACTTACTGTAGATTTTACCCAGATGTAATCACACTTTGTCCTAATGTTTTAATAATTCTACTCTAAGCATGACTAGATCTGGATTCAGTTCAAGATTAGAACAAGATTTTTCTTAGTGGATTAAGCAACAAAGTTACATAACTTTAACACAAACAGAACCAAAGAAAAGATAGCAAATTTAAACTTCCTTAAAGTGTTCATAAATGGATATAAATTATTGACTTTTCAAGGTCTCTACCCTGTCACATTCTCCATAAAATACAATTACAGAAAATGGTTTGTAGAAAAATATATTCATTTGAGTGCCAGTGAGATCTTCAACAAATCCAGAAGATAGCCAACAATACAATTTTCAATAAGGTTTATCTTCCTGTAATAATTACTGCATGCTATTTACAGTGCCAAGCAACCTAGAATATATCCTGACTATATATCCTGACTAAAATAGAGATAAATTTTAGCAGAAGCATTTTGACTTGAAGAAAAAGCCAGCTAAGGAGAGGAAGCTGCACAATCTACATGAAGTCCAAGACATACAGTAGATGATGTTGATTATTTATATATTTTTATTATATACATTATAAATGTATAAAAATTATAAGCATAACACTAATATTTTGTTTTTCTCAATACTAGTTGTGTATATGCTAAAATGGACAATGTAAAGAAAAAATAATTCACTTAAATTACTATTGTACATTGACATTTTAAAAAAAAGTTTTCATGTTATATAGTTAAATGGTGTTTGCCTTAGTAAGTTTTGGTAAAGAAATTCTCAAGCTAACCAGGAAAAAAAGTTTAGTCAAGAAAAATTGCTATCACGGTAGTCAGATTACATCTTCAATTTAAAGATGTCTGTTTCACGTGCAAAATTGCAGTAGCACCAAAATTAAATTCAGAAAAAATATATCATATATTCTTTTTAATAGCCATGTGTATTGACATTTCTTCAGAACTAGATTATTCTAGTTAAATAAATTCCAAATGATTAGTTTCACATTGAAAATGTTAAAACCTAACCCTTTCACTGCCAACCAGTTAAATAACCTTTTTGCCTCTTCTGGGTCTAAGAATTTGAAGCAGACTTTCATATTTCTGCATGGTAGAGACAAACCCTATCCTTGTTCTTAATCCTAGACTTCACACGAGTCTTTATCTTAATATATGCACATGAATCTTTATCTTTAATAAAGACTCATATGAATTATAACCACAATGTAGTTATTCTGTGGTTTCCTCTGCAGTCTAAGATTGAGAGGAAAGCTGACAATGTTTGGCTGCTGAAATATCTCAATTGCACAATGGACAAATTGGCAAGCTCCATGGTAGGGAAGAAACTACAACTAAAAAGTTGCAAGCCAACAAAAGGAGAGGATAGCCACAAAATTTGTTTGCTTTTTAAATTTTCCCAAATTTTCAAGATCCAGAAAGACACTACAGCTGTAAGAGATTATTTAGCACAACGATGCAGGTAACATGGGAGTTTGTACAACTCAATCCTACATATGTTTATTTGGAGGGAAGTTTGAATTCAGTTGAGCTCATCTTTGTTCTGGTTAAAAAACAACAACCTTATCCATGTGAAGGTCTCCATTACACAAAATGATGTAAGTGAGATGACTAACATCCACACAACTGAGATGCAGTCCCTAAAATGTGAACTGTTAATACAATCTGTATATGTTGAATTTCAAACATAAGAAATGACTGAAAAATAAAAAGTGGAAGGTAGCTTGTAAGTCACTATTTTTCTCTTCACTATTCAATCTGCATCATTACTCTAATACTGTTAACTTATGGCAAAGCTATCAGCAACCACCTATGTTGGGAAGTGCAGTATCCCAACATAGTTTGTAGATGTCATGTATAAAGAAAAATCACCCATTAGAACTGACTCATTCTATTTTCTGTTGACGCCTCCATTATTTCCCAAACATTGCCCACAGCTTATGGCTAACAACCACCACTCCATGATTATGAGATTATCATCATACTGCAAACATCCTTAATAAAAAGATTCCTAATTACACTCCCTCACCAAAAAGTATGCTAGTAGTTCATTCACTACTTCCTCAAACTCACGAGTGTTGGTGTGATTGTTTCCATGTAAATCAGCTACACTATCATTGAAAGTTCCACCAATCACACTTCAAAACATAGCACCAAGGCCTGAGTTACAAATCTGCCAAACTGAAAACTGGGGGGGAGGGAGGGAGGGGGAGAGAGAGAGAGAGAAGTTCCAGGGCAACACCTTTACCAGTGCTTGTGAATACACCTTACATATCTTTGGGCAAAGGCAGGCGGAGAGATCCATTTCAGGCTCAGGATGTCCTTTTTCTTCTATGAGTGTCTGTGGACTTCGAAAAGAACAGACTCCCCTAATCTTTTTAAGATCTCGATTCCGGCTATACTAAACTAGAAGAAACTACCCTCAGAAAGGGAGTGGGCTTTCTTAAGACGAAGCAGCCAACTCTTCTTGGAAGCATCCTCAGAGTTGATGCGGAGGGGGGGGGAAGAGGGGAGGTTGGGGGGAGCAAAAATGATGTGGCCACAGATTCAACCGCCCTGCTATACCTGGACGCGCCCGTGTCGGCCTGTTCCCCCCTCCCCCCAAGTCACATCTGTCGTGAAGTGGCAGCTGCTGTTTTGGCGCAAAAGATGAAGCGCCTCCGAGTCCAAGCTCACCTCCAGCTTGCGCCTCACTCCACTCAGCTTCGGCTTCCCTCCCGTTCCCTTCCCTCTCTCGGTACCCTGGGAAGGGCGGCACTACCGCCTCCTACGGACTGAAATAACTTTCCATGTTATCCCCCTCTGCTAGGTTTCTCCACCTTCGCCACCCATAACTCTTGACCACTCACTTGTAGTTTCGAGAAACTCCGTCTCCGCCCGGGACAGGGCGGCTTCACACGCACCTTATTACCGCCGCTCCCACTTTCCAGCACACAGACACCCATTCGCACATCTACACACACACACATACATACACACACTGAAAAGTCTCAGCCGCCCCAGAAAAGACACGGCAAGGGGCGAGAAGCATGCTGGGAAGTGAAGTTTTCCCTCACCCTGTTTCCACCCGAAATGAAAGCCACCAAGAACTACAACGACCGCCAGGCCGTCGCGGCAGCGGAGTAGCAAGGCTGAGATGGCGCAGGCGCCAAGGCGGCGCACCGAGTTTCCGTTACTTCTAGTTTCTGTGGCGGTTGCTGTGCTGAGCCGCGAAGGCGGGAGGGGAGTGGGGGGGGGATGCAAGGAACATTGAAACATGGGGAGCGGAGAAAAGGGGATTGAGTAGGAGATGCAGACGTCAATGGAAAAAAAGAGGGGGGTTTCTGCTGCTTTTTTGCTGGAGCGGGAGGAGGAATTAAGTTTGAACTGACCGTCCGAAAGATGCCGCGAGGTTTATTTGGGTTCGCCTCTCTTAGTCGACCATGCCATCTCTGGTTGAGCGGCCTCTCTCCGTGCTTCAGTCGAGTTATTTTTACAAGCCCCCTTGGCTGTTCGCGAGCTCTTGGTAAAGGAAGCCAGAAAGCGGAGCTTCGCGTGTTCGTGTCCCAAATTCCAAGCGCATTTGATCACCTTCTCTCGCGACCGTACAGCCGATGCCTCTGTCGGCAGTGTCTTCATCTCTGAGGAAGATAATCCGCTCCATTTATCACCCCATGGGCCTCCAAAGCCTATTGGCGTGGCAAGGTTTTTACCTCCCCAGATCGCCTCTTTTGTTTCGTTTCGTTCCCTTTACAAAGGGATGACTCTATTTATACGACTTTGTTTATGGTTTATTCAGTTAACTAAGTTTCCTGGAGCTGCATGACACATTCAGGCAGAAAAACGAACCCCTTGGATTGGATCCATCCCATATGCAAGCATAAATGGTGGCTGATTAATTTGTGGGTCAACGTGGCACTGGAGGCTCAGTCTAATAGAGAGGCTTTTAAAGTTCTCTGCTTACACTCTAATGTTGATGAGCTGTATACTGTACTCAAAGTCAAGACTGGCCCTCTAGGGGGGGCTCAGTAAAAAGACAATGATCCTGCAAGTTGTGGAAGAATAAAGCAGCCTCTGATCTGTATCTGCTTACCTGCTGTCAGATATGGCAGCACAGGTCCAATAGCAGCGTTAAGATTGATCAGCTACTATATAAGAAGCTGTGGTGTGAGAGAACTGACAGCTTGGTATTCTTATTCTCATAACAAAAGAGTTTGGGTTGGTCTGAACTCTGTCCAAAGCAATTATTAGAGAGAAGCTGGATTCCGGCTTTGATAAGCTTTCAGACTGAATGGCTATGCTATAACTTTTTGTTTTCCTGACACTTTGCCAGCAGAAATGAGGATATTACAAACATAAATTTTGTTAATACCCCAGATTGAGTTCACACAGTGCACTAAGCAGTACTGCTTTGTCTGGTTCTGGCTTAATGGATGATCCCAGCGATCGTGGTTTTTGAATAATTCATACTTAACATACTGTTTGGATTCAGCTACTATTGCTTTTGCCAACCAAGGTACAATTGGTTCCTGGAGGTGGTTTGTAGGTGAACGTTGCCACTAAATAATGGCGCCTGGTCTCAATGCTTTCTGGAGGCATGGAATATGAAAGAAATTTAACAAACTCTATCCATTACTTAAAAGTGACTTTCTATTCATATTTTAGCAGTGCTATTATATAGTGCAAAGAGAATCTAGGATAAGACAACATTATCCCATGGAGAATAAACACATAGTAAATTCAAGGCTATCTAAAAGCAGTTTTCTTTTTTTCTATCTGTTTTGCCCACAATTATCCCCATTAGTCAAACTGAATTCATGCATATGTCTTGGGCTTTATTCTGGAACATAATCTCTACTAATTTTTAAATCAATTGGTATTTGTAAATCATAAAAATATTTGTAGCTAAGAAATGAGGATTTATATGTACAAATAGCAAACAGAACAAAGTTTTTAGAAATTAAATACAAAGCACATTAACTTGTAATATTATGTAAACAGATGCAAATTACAATTTAAAAAGCTGTTTATCTATTTATGCAATTGGGATGCTGCCTGTTCTTTCTTAAGATATAACAATATCCTAGAAAATCTTCAGTTCGTAATAACTTCCTACTATCCAACCCAGAAAAGATTTATCTACAGTTAGTCCTCAACCTATGACCACAATTGAGCCCAAAATTGCTGTTGCTAAGTGAGACTTTTGTTAAGTGAATTTTGCTCTTTTTTATGACTTTGCTTGTCACAGTTGTTAAGTGAATCGTAGTTGTTCAGTTAGTGACATGTTGTTAAGTGAATTTGACTTCCTCATTGATTTTGCTTGTCAGAAAGTCCCAAAACCTGATCACATGACCCAGGACACTACAATCGTCATAAATAAGTCAGTTGCCAAGCATCCAAAATTTGATCACGTGACCATGGAGATGCTGTGGTCAGCAATGGTCATAAATGTGAAAAATAGTAATAAGTCACTTTTTTCAGTGCTGTTGTAACTTTGAACGGTCATTAAATGAACTGTTGTAGGTTGAGGACTACCTGTATATATCCTAACTCTTACATCAACTCCTAGGTGTAATTTAAAATTCTGGTTTATCTGAACCTTACAACTATAGTTCTATTTTAAATGAAGCAGGAATCTTTGTTAATTGAAAATCCTCAGAGTTTTAAATGTAGCGCTCAAAAAGAAAAGGGAAGATTTTACTTGCCTGGGAATAATGCTAATTTGTTTTTCAATTTATTATGCCAAATAATGGAATTATGAAATGTTTTGTGAATACTAAAGGAAGAATTGTTTGATAATGGAAGAGCCAATGGCATTAAACATTGTGTGTTACTTTTTCCACAAGTTGCACTCATGTGTAATGTTATCTTTTGATTTTTCCTCATGATAGTGAGGAAAATAATATGTAGGCTATCTAACCCAGAATTTGAACAGAATCCAAATATCTATTTTAAACATAGTAGCAACTTGCACTAACTCATTCATATCATGATTTTAAGCAGATTTTGAAGTGATATTCAGCTTTAAAACTGGGGGAAAGGTCAATTTCTTAGGAAAGAAGTCTGAAACACCTTTGTTGTTTTCAGCCTTTGAACATGGCATGGCCACACCTAATTTGATCCAGAATGATTGCAAGCTATGGACATGTACTTATTTTCTGAAGTTATTTTGGTATTACAAACTTAGTTATGATTGGAAATGAATAATAATTAAGGTAAAGGTAAAGGCTTCCCCTGTCCAGTCGGTCCAATTCTAGGGGCAGTGCTCATCTCCATTTCTTAGCTGAGGAAACCAATGTTGCCCAAAAACATTTCCATGGTCATATGACCAGCATGACTATAAGCCAAAGTGCACAGCATGCTGTTACTTTCCCCCCCCCAAAGTGGTACCCATTTATCCACATTTGCATGCTTTGGAACTGCTAGATTAGCAGGATCTGGGACAAGTAATAGGAACTCACTCCATTATGCAATGCTCAGATCTCAAATCAAGGCTGTCAGCTTTTCAGCTGACAAGCTCAGTGTCTTTAATAATAGCAACAACAACAACTTTATTATCATTTTGAAAGTACATCAATCGGCATACATCAAAATGAAATTTTGTTGCATACAGCTATCAAAGGGTCACCACCTCCGATATACACTCCTTGTTCGTGGCCAGCTCAAGTTTCAGATCTTCCATTTAGTCTCTAGGGAGCGAATGATGGCAAACAAGACAGATGGAAATGGAGCTTCATGTGGATTATCCCTCAAATTAGCTTGTATTCCTGCACAACAACCTCGCCTCCTTTCCTTTTTCTGATCTTGTCTCTTCCACCTTTTCCTTAAAGAGGCCTTACTCCTTTTCGCCCCTGGAGAACGCTGCCGCCGCCACCAACTCCTCCAAAAGCCTCTCTCCCTTCCTCTGGGCCTACCGACAGCCTCATCCAGTTCCTTCGCTCCATAAGCCCTGGAGCTTCTCCTCCTCTGCCTCCTTTGGAAACAGCCCTTATTTGCAACAGAATCCATTGCTGGGCCAGCAGTGAGATCTTGCTGCTGGCAGAACAATTTCAAACAGCACCAACGACTTTTAACGGTCTCACCAACAGTTCCGAAACAGCTAGAAATTCACCATGCCAGCAAAGATTGTCAGTCGTATGTTGTATGTTACCTTAGTTCCACCACATTGCTCAAACACGTTAAAACAGACATGTCAAACACAAGGCCCAGGGGCCGGATGTGGCCCATGACATGATTTCATGTGGCCCGCAAAGCCATCCTGGAAACAGAGAGGGAATGGCGCCCGCTGCCTTGGCCCCAGCCCAGGCCGGCCGGGAGCTAATGTACAATTTTGTGGTGGCCATCTATGCTGAAACGCATTCAGTCTTAGCACCACAAGGCCGTCTGGAAACAGCAAGGAACCAGCCCCTGCCGCATCGGCCATGCCCCCTGGGTGCATGCTGGGGAGGTGTCACCCTTTGTGAGGAATGAAGAAATGCATCATCGCCTGGAAGTGGCCATCACATGGCCCTTGCCTACTTCACATATCCGGCTTGATGGGATCTGGGGGAAGGGTTTATACAGGCTCTTCCAGTGGACCATGTGTTGGCACTTGCCCCGGTCCCACCCCCTTCTGCCAGGGACCCTCAGATCTGTCCCACTCCTGCCTAGGCCCCCACAGGCACCCTTGACGCGAACAATGTAGAGCTGGCCACGCCCACACAGTAGGCCACACCCACACTGGCCATGCCCACACAGTAGGCCACGCCCACTCTGGCCACACCTACCCCCCTGAGGACAGCCGCAATGATGATGTGGCCCTCAATGAAATTTGAGTTTGACACCCCTGCATTAAAACCTTCCTGATCATGTAGCCTATATCCCTTAATATTCCTCCCATAACTTTTCACCTTCGAGAACCAATGGAGTTGCAGCCGATTCAGGTGCCGCCATCTTAGAATAGATGAGCCATCACACCTCCAATAATTAAGAAGGTATCGCTTCCTATTAAAGATCTGTTAATTTGAAAGATATTTTCTTTTTAGTATTCCTAAATAGTT